ACCTCGTTGTCTGCTTATTGATGAAAAACATTGAATTATCAATTAATGCCGAGGTTAACAGAAAGTCGGTCATGGGAATTTTTATTTCGACTAGCAGATTTCAAAATGAATTGAGATATGTGAGCTTAAAATAGGAAGAAAGAAAATTTGTCTTCGAGCACTAATGCATTGAATTCAATGCATGTCGTGGCACTTCAAATGTGTCAAATGTGTTAAAGAATTTTCGCTATATTTTTGCAAGGGTTCATCGTCGTATGATCATCTTATTTTTATGTGTTTTCGTTGCGAATATTCGTTACCTATCGTGCCTATTTCTCTGAGTAAATTTCTATAAAGTAAATCATTTATCTTACAGATTCGGAATGCTGATACTGGTGCTGTTGTTTGTCGGGGTACCGATCACCTCTGCAAATCCTCCGACTCCGGTCAAGCTGCATAGAATTGCGTATAATCAAACGATGCCTCAAAGTTCGTCACTGCAGCTATCAAAAATTTAAAAGCAATGGTGCTGAGATAAACTCCGGGCCGCAAATGTCAGCGGTAGAGAACCAACGCTCTATTAGCATTTCCGGGCGCTAACGCGTTTACCACCACACCATGTGGTTCCTTCGTTTCGCCTGCCTCCCAAGAAGTTCTATCGATCACTACCATCAGCAGTCACCTATCAGCGGGATTGATTCGAGAACCCCAAATCGGCATTGAACCCTGTTCAGCTGAGGCAGCAGTCGAATACACAACGTTAACTTATTGTTTACTGCCTATTACAATCTTTTTACGGTAGAGTATTATGTGTGATACAACCACAACATTCCCCGGAGACCGTTCGTTCCCCACCGTAGGCAACTCCGGTCCGGAGTTTTGCAAATATCTCAGCATCATTGTGGTTGTATCATTCATAATAAAAAAATTTTTATAAGCAGTAAATAAAAAGTTAACATTGCGTGTCAGAAATTGAGCTTGTCCTCCATTCCCTTGCACCACCGATGGTGTTCCACGCAAACGATTTTTATCAACATCATCTTGGATAAAATCGTTCCACATTTAATGTCAAACTATTCGCAAGCACGCCTAACCTCCATTGCGAGTGGCGTGGAACCACGTTAAGTTGTTTACCGCATGAAGCATGCAATGAATCCAACCCAAGTAGTCTGTTGTGCTCTCTTGCTTAAAAGATTAAATACCAAGTGCCTTCTTTGTTAGCTACAGTCCTTATGTTAAATAGTTGGAACAGAAGTAACAAATCAGATCAAAAGTATCTATGGTCAGAAGAACATATTCGTTCAAAAGATTGTTTATGGCATATTACTGCCAGCGAAATACAGCTATTCACGAATCATGCCCTCTGTGATGTGAGAAAAAACCTACAAAACCTAGACTCTGTGCAGCAAACCAACACCCGAAAGAAAACACATTGAAATCAGTGCAGATTCATCAATATTTTCTATGTGCTCTCAAGTCTGTGAATGATAGCGAATATGTTTAGTTGGCATTGCGATGTGGTTCCTAGGCTTCTGTGTACTATGTTTCTTCGAAGCCACCGATCTCCCTCATATGACAGATCTCGAGCTGGCTAGTCGCGAGGTTACGTGGCGTGTCCCCAGGCGGCGGATAGGGGGTTAATCGCGAATTAAAGCCGACCTTTGCTTTTCTGAGACGCAGATGGATCCAGGGGATGGACACCCTGTTTCTGCTGCGCCGATTTGACACATACTTTCTGTGTTTACGAGGCGTTTTCATGCATGCATGTGTGGAAGCATTCCAGTTTATCGGGATCGTATTCTGCAAGTCAATTTGGCCGAAAGCCTGCAACAAAGACAGCGAAGTATATGGGAGGCGCTTAGTAATCGACTCCAACAAATGAGCTCCATGTTCACTCTGGGAGAGATTGGCAAGTTACCCATGAGTATACCAAGCCCCCACGTTCAGAGTCCAACAAGCTATACGTTACGCGGGTATCAAAATGTTTAACACAGTAAAAGAAACGGACTCATTCCCTTGACTCCGAAAGAACCCCCGATTCGGCAGCGTTGGGTAGGACTAGCACAGAGAGGCTGCTAAAATCTCAGGACCATTCTAAGCTGCCTAAACAGCAAAGAACTAAGGTGAAGATCTGAACCTACAATGCACGCACACTCCCATCTGATTCTTCGATACAAGACTTGATCACACGAGCAAGAAGGAGAAGGTACGATGTCATCGGACTGACCGAGGCGAGACGATGCTACCAATTCAACGAAGTCTGTGACACCGGAGAAGAACTGTTCCTCGGACCATACGACAGCAGAAGAGTCGGCGCGTAGGCGTTCTCGTCAACACGAGTATGTCGATGAGCATCGATTCATCCGAACAACTAACAACCGGAATCAGACGGTTACGATTGAAGAGACCTGGATTGATATGGGCTTCGGTAATCTTCGTCGCTTACGCGTTAACACCAAACTGTGACGAAGAAGAAGTCGAAGCGTTCAATAAGGAGTTGGTGTAGTCCTATAGCGAAGATCTTACATTCTTAAAGGATATCACTGAAGAATTTAATTCAAGATTGGAACAACAAGAATGTCACATTGGTACCCACGGTTTAGATTGGAAAGAGCAGGGTGAGCGGCTGACTGAGTTTATCATTACGACCAAGACAATCCATGGTAACTCGCAATTCCAGAAGCCCCACCCTCAGCGCTGGACATGGGAGTCTCCCAATGGTGAGTACCATAACGAAATAGACCACATCGTAATAAATAGAAGGTTTTTTCTAACCGATTTCGCTGTTGTCCAAAACTCTACACGGGTTCAGACGATCATCTCCTTCGTATAGGATTCTATTTCTCGCAGAAAGAACAAAAAGTCGTTAAATTCAAAAAAAGTTCAAGAATTACTATAAACTGGGATTTATCCAATTTATTAGTCGAAAGTCACCAAGAAACGTCTGTCTCCGGACGCACCCAAGCTGATACGCCAGCGTGGAATCGCAGGAGGCACAGGCGACCGCGAACTAACGTCCGAACATGCAAAACAATGCGAACAGGCGACAAATGAAGATCTTAAGAAGAGAAAAGGAGCAGCTATGGTCGAAACTGCAGCGGCTGAGCAAAGCATTCGCAAAGTCCTGCGAAGCTTCGCCAGTTAAAAGACAAAGATGATTCTACTCCGACGCCCAGACGGAACAGTAACAGCGTCCAGAGAGGCAATGGGGAGAATCATTCACGAATACTATTCATATCGGCAGGGACGGTGACTGCATGAGTTCAGGTACGATATACCTGATCTCGTGTAACAATTGCGGAGATGAATATATTGGCGAAACGGGCAGACCTTTGTGTATCCGTATAAAAGAACACCTAGATGGCAAACGAAAACTAAGACGAAGCACCCCAATAGGCATGCATAGGATACAAAAGCATAGCGGAGACGATTTTGAAGTAAAAGTCAATATCCTTGCACAGGAGTCCAAAACACCAGCGCGAAAACTCCTTGAGGCTTTTTGGATAAATGCCAAAAACCCTGCAATGAATAGCAGGGATGAATGCCCGGAGGTCATACGCGACCTGATCCCGTACATTCGCATCAATTTCTGATGTGGGATGATGCAACCATATGCGAGTATAAACAGCTGTTCTAAACTTCCTCATTGGAAGTCACGAAAAAGCGGTGGGTTTTTCGAGAAGTTGTTGATTATGTAATTACCGGAGAGTTCTTCGTCTTCTTGTAAGTGTTATTGAAGCGTTTGGCCTAGTAGATTGTATATCAGTATACCGTTCCAGGCTCTGAAGAAGGCGATACTGCCGAAACGTCAGCTACTGTTGTATTGTATTGTGTTTTTCTATGGAAGTAAATGTATGCTGTTTAAAAACCTCGCGATTGCTGAACAAGAAAACGACACATTCATATTCCAATGCCGAGGTTAAGAGAAAGTCGATCTTGGGAACTATTCATATCTCTTAAATAGCCACGTCCTCCTTCCTTCATATGAAATAAGAGAGGATGGATATGTCATATCACCGGTTCTCCTTTCTGAAATCTGGCAAGCTGTTCGGGCGGTGAAAAATTGAACCGCACCAGGTCCGGGTAGTATAAGACCAGAACACCTGGAGAACCTTCCGCCAGTCCTCGTAAATGCACTGGCTTGGTTCTTCACACGATACTTATCTAAATGCAAGGTTTCTACTCAGTGGAGGACCAACAAGACTGTGTTAATGTTCAAGAAGTGTGACCGACACGATATCGGCAAATATCGCCCAATCTGCTTGCTGTCTGTCGTCTACAAACTTTTCGCTCGAGTCATCCTAAACAGAGTTAACAGAGCAATGGACGAAAGACAGCCATGTGAGCAAACAGGGTTTCGAAAAGGATTTAGTACGATGGACCACATTCACACGGTAACAAGGCTCGTTGAAGTGTCGCGAGAGCACAAAGGACCGCACTGTCTCACTTTCATCGATTTACAGAACGCTTTTGATTCAGCTGAGATGGAAACAGTCTGGGAAGCCCTTTATAGTTAAGGAGTCCCAACTCAGTACATTAAGATTCTTCGTGAGCTGTACAAAAATTTCACAATCAAGATATCACCATTCTACAACGACATTAACATTGACGTCAAAAGAGGTAAGGGGTAAGGCGATACCATCTCCCCAAAATTGTTTACCGCCACCTTCCAGAGCGTCATATGAACATTGGAATGGAATAAAATAGGAATGGAAATCGATAGTCGGAAATTACACCACCTTGGCTTTGCTGACCACATAGTCCTTATAACACCAAACATTAGCCAAGCGGAACGAATGCTGGTCTACTTTAATAAAACCTGTGGAAAGGTTTTTCTTCGACTAAATCTCACAAAAACGATGCTCATGAGGAATGGATTGGTTTCGTATGCCCCATTCACGCTCAACGGAACCAATATCTCCGAATGCTCCAGTTATATTTATGTAGGTCAGGAAATCAATATGATGAACGACCTAGCTTCAGAGCTGAGCAGAGGAAAACGGGCAGCTTGGGAGCTTTCAAGAGCATCGAAGATGTAGTGAACAGAACAAAGAACACGCAACTCTGTGCCCACCTTTTCGACTTAACGGTACTTCTTGCCCTAACGTATGCGTCAGAAACGTGCTCGTTGTGTAAGTAGGATGGAAGGTCACTCAGCGTTATCGAACGTGCAGTGGAAAGGACGATGCTAGGAGTATCCCGTTCCACACAAGTAAGGGATGGGATCCGAAGCTCCGATCAGCGTCGACGATCGGAAATCGAAGATGTCGTTTTGTGCCCTAAACAGGAGAAGATAAGTTAGGCCGGAAACATAATTCATGTGAATGACAGCCGATGGACAAGAGCCGTTAGTGAGTGGATTCTTTGGGATGTCAAACACATTGCAGGAACATCACCTACCCGATGGCCAGAGTTTTTCACGGAGATCCTAGAAGAAAGACATGATGCTCGACGTGTCCTTAGAGCGAGCAGGACCCACTGGGGTACTCTCGTACGTGACAGGGAAGTATGGAAGATTTATTGGTGCTCGCTAGAGTCACTCGACGATTAACGGGCCTACAGGTGATACAGGTGATTTTTTTTAACCACTAACAAACCGATTGCAAGGAAGAGGGTGTTGCTACCTTAAAATTTTTCAAGTATTTTATCAATTATACGATGCCGACTTTAGTACATTATTTAGGTGAGATTAAATGGCGTTATCACGCAATTGACAAGCTATGGAAGGAAAGGAAGTCTATGGGTCACACTCCTCTGATCAAATTCCAGGTAGAATGTGGAATTTTTCATCGTGTTTCTGTTGACACTAAGTTGCACAGTAGCATCTAAGGCTACGTATGTGCTGCAGTGGTTAGAATCGTCCTTTGTCCTCTGCAATCGGAGAGTTCTTACCGGAATGATCTAGAAAAATAAAAACACAGATTTGTAACGTGTGTGAGTCCGGCAAGTCATTGTATCGAATTAGTCCTATAATGCGGTATTTTCTTCAATAAGCAGACACGAGGTTGTTATTATAGAATTTATTAGGGTACAATAGCGAACGTTTCGGTGGTTTCGCCTTCTTCAGAGTCTGGAAAGGTCAAATCGAGATGGGATCTACTCAGCCAAACACTTTCATAACCCCAGAAGATAAAACTTGACAAATCGATTTGCATTCGCATAAGAAACAGCTTCAATTGAACACTAAATTAAAACAAAGCACCACTAGGCGCGCATAGGATGCAGGAACACAACGGAGAAGATTTTGAAGTAGGAGTCACTATCCCCACGCACGAATCGAAAACATCAGCGCGTAAAACTCTTAAAGCGTTTTGGATCAATTCCAAAAATTCAGAAATGAACTGTTTCTTGTCTTTACGCGTGACCTGGCGCCATGCCTCAGGCTGATCGAATGACCTAACGCAGACACAGTTATCGCTCATTTATTACTCGGTGTGGCTGCAATCCACCAACTGACTTAAATACTTACAACGAATAAATGGTAGGTGTTTAATTGAAGCTGTTTCCTATGCGAACGCAATTTTATTTGTTAAGTTTTATCTGCTGGAGTTATGAAAGTGTTTGGCTGAATAGATTGCATGCCATTTTGAACTTTCTAGGCTCTGAGAAAAGCGAAACTGCAGAAACGTCGGTTATTGTACTCTAATAAATTCTATAATATCAACCTCGTGTCTGCTTATTAAAGAAAACACCGAATTATCAATCAGTGCCGAGGTTAATTGAAAGTCGGTCTTGGGAACTCCTATAATGCTTCGAATAGGGTTGACTGCTTGGCACCACCCTAAGCATTAGCCACCATCAAATGAATTAGTTGTTATGCTTTCTAACGTTTAGAAGCATTCTTTCTTGCTTTTTCTTAAGCTGAAAAGGGCTAGTGTTATGAAGTCTAGAGCACCATCGCTCCCGAAGATGATTTCAACTCAACAAACACTCACTGGTACCTAAACCATCCATTTCAATCACTATTGGTCGCAGAATGCTGGTATTAATGTCCATGGTTACATCGAAAGATACTTGAGGACATAAAACACTTATGGAAAAACCTTTGTTTTATCGACCTGAATGTATATATGTCACTGTTTACTACATTTTGTCACCTCACGCAATGCAGTAACATTGTCTGCAGCATCTTGACACTCTCACGATGGGTGACACCTACGGTATCGCACTTGTTTTCCGGGAGTGGCTGGTATGCTACGCAGAGGGTACACTTTTTTTCGTGTTATGTTTTAGCATATGAGAATGGTGCCCTACATTTCTTATAATCTATCGATAGCTTATTGGAAGCAAATGATGCATTGGATGTTGTTAGGGAAAAGCTCTACTATGCACTTAGAAATATACAGAAAACCATTTTTCAAGCGAGTTCACTAACCAGAAATTTGCTTGCAAATGGAATACTAATTCAATTCCAATTACTATAGTGAATAAAAGTTATATAAATGTGAAATAATGAATATAAACTGGGTAAAAAATTGCTGAAACCATTTTTTGCTTTATTTTATATGACCCGTCATTCACATCAACCGTGAGGACTAGCGCTCCTCACATTCGATTCGTATCCTCGCATCCGGTCTACCAACTTTTTACGCATGGCTTTCAGGACTTTTATTTCATCTTGGATGTCGTGGAATGCTGGTCGACTCGCTGTACCCTGAAGTCCTGAGATAGCCGGGCTGGAGCGTTCCTAAATCGATTGCAGAGAGTGACTTTTTTTCTCGGACAAGTCCGATATCCGTTTTCCTATCCTAGAGGGATGAAAAGCTCAGTGAGTCCGGTGCGGGATAGGACCAGTACAGTGATCGTGATGATCGGCGCCACTACCACTGTGCTCTCTGCCCATGATTACGGAAATAGAGACCCATAAGGTGCAAAACACTTTCAAAGGCAGTCAACAGTGTGCTTGTAGGATGGGCTACGCTATTATTCAGCCAATAGCCTCTTAAAGAAGAAAGTTCTCGGCGTTAGTCAATCCGTGAGGTATGCATCATGGATTCATCTTCTTCAAGCGTTAGTGATGGTTGAATACATATCTAAGCAAAAAAGTGACTCACTGTGGCCTAGCGATGTATAGACCCAGTGCTGCTATCTTGTTGGACAAGTCTGGTACCAATCTGTAGACCCCAAAATGAAAAAGGGCTTGCT